CCAGGCTGGCCTCGAACTCACAGAGATCCACCTGGCTCTGCCTCCCGAGTGCTGGGATTAAAGGCGTGCGCCACCACCGCCCGGCAAACTACTAGTTTTATAAAGGATTTTGAACCTTTCTCTAGACCTTCCGTTCCCTGTAACAAGGGTAATCAGAAGTACTTACAACCTTTTCTGATTCTTTAATAATTTTTTGCATGGGAATTCTCTTATGGGGCAATGAAATGGGGTGGGGTACAGCAACATAGTTCAGGAATGTTATTGCTGCTGTTTATCAAAAGTTGAATGGTCAAAAATCTTACAGGCAGAAAAAAAATGGAGTTCTGTTTTGCTAAGTGCTGTCTTGGAACCTACTTAAAATATGAGAATTATTTTAATTCTAAGCCTTCTAGTCTTTCCTTAATGAATAATTATATATTTTTGTGTGTGCGTGTGTCTTGGGTGTGTGCTATATTAATTAATTAAATCAATGGTTGTGGAAAAAAAAGGTAGATACAACGAAACCCTGATTTTGAACCTATTAGATTTTACAAAAGGAATTGGTGTCACTTTCTCTTGGTTTAACCTTTTTCTTTTCTCATTCGTTTACTCTCTGCATTATAATTTTCTTAGTTTATTGAGTTTTCAATTTAATTGGCCTTTTATTTTTACACCCTTTCAGAATTTCATTTTTACTTGACTGCATGTACTGGACATGTTATAGAGTTTCAGGTGGATACTGGGATTGCATCTAGTCAGTAAGAACCCTGATCAGGGGGAGATGCACCCTTCTACCCCCCACTTTTTCTGTGACTGGACTACTAAGATTGTTCTTATTGTGGGGACACTTCTGATGGTATCTTTGCATAATTGAATACTGATTTTGTCTTAATTTGTATGTTTTCCCTTTCTTCTATTTTGAAGATAATAAAATTCCTAACTTGAGAGGTAGCAGAGACCACAAACTCCTTGAAATCGAGAATCTGTGTAAGTCAAAACATTATTAGCACAATGTCAACCATTCTAATACATATTTGGTGATTTCTTTCCATTTGAGCCTCTGCACGCTATACATTTTAAAAATCCCTGAATATAGCATTCTTTATTCTTTTTCATGGAAAACAAAATATAGGCATATATCTAAAAAATAGTAAATAGTGAGTATTTGAGACATCCTTTTCAGTTCACAAATACGGATATCTTAGGGGGTTCTGGAAATTGAAATGAGGGGTCATAATTTTAAAAGGTAAAACCATGTGAATAGGTTTACTCATAAATCAAAACTTTCTCCTCTGATACTGTTAGTAATAAGCTAGAATTTAGGGACTGAAGAAGAGATGGACTTATCCTACTATGACAAGTGCTTCATTGAAATGAGCATCAAATTTCCTCTTCCCTCTGGATAATGATGATATTCTTTGAGATTCCATTCCTGGGATATCAAGAGATGTTATGCAGAAAAGTATTTTATATCTGTTTGTGTTCCAGAACTTCTGCATCATTAAAATTAAGCTGATTTATTTTAAAACATCTATTTTACCTTTTGGAAACTTCATACATGAGTACTGTATTTACATCATTTCCCCTCCCCTTCTCCTCCCTTGTCCCAACTCCCCCTCGAATGTATGAATGCTTCTTAATTATTATATATGTATATATACATAATATTGCCCGTGTGTGTGTGTGTGTGTGTGTGTGTGTGTGTGTGTGTGTGTGTGTGTGTTGTGTTTGTTTAGGACTGACAACTTGGGATTAGAAAGCCTATCATGGGACTTGTCCCTGGAGAAGAGTGATTCTTCCTTTCTAAGCAGCCATTATTTAATCTGTGGCTCTTCATTTAGAGGTTGAGGCCTTGTGAGATTTCCCCCATCCTCTTAGTATTGTCAACTGGTGCCATTGTGTGTTGGTCTCATTTAGATGACCATATTGTTTGGATTTTAGGTCACTTATAGAAGACACTATCTTGAAGCAGACATATTGGTCCTCTGGCTCTTACCATCTTTCAGTTCTTCTTCCATAATGTTCCCTGAGCCTCAGGCATAGAACTGATGCTGTTCATCTATTAGTTGTGGCTCTGTACCAGTACAGCCATGCCACACTTTTACTGGATGATATGCCTTTTCAGGTTCTGAAGGGTGGATCCTATATGTTTCCTCCTCCTAAGGTTATTGACCAAATATAATCCATACTCTGCCAGTGTGCCAGGGGACTTCTCACAGAGCAGGTTCACTGAAACCCTTAAGCTGGGAAATCCTATGAGGGTGACCACAAATATGAACACCACTCTTCCATAAATGCAGCTACTGCTTGAGGCTCTTCAAAACATTTCCTTGTGTTTTACCTCATTTCATCCTCATTAGCTGTTCTTAGTGTAGTTTAAGTATTATTTTCCAACTTGGGAGACGAAGAAAGGGACTCATTATGCACCAATCGCTGTTTTAATGATAGAGAAAACTTAGTTCTGCAAGAGAGAACACATGGAGCTGTGGTTGGAGAACACTTGTAATCATGGAGTCGAGTTTTTCCCCCTTTCTTATTTTGCAAACATTTCCTCCTCTGTAGAACTGCTCCTAGAGGAAACATTTCTAATGTGTGAGGTGATGGCTTAATGATTCTAGATACCTTAGTCCCACGTGGATGGACATATGTCTCAGTTGGTTTGACTCAGTGTCAATATGCCAATACTTTTGTCTGAACAAAATGAATCAACTCAATGTTGGTTTATAATGGAATCTGGTGACAAGGAATCCTCACTGAAATCCAACCAAAGCATCTCATCCAAAAATCAATATTATGTACATACTTGTTATAGAAACTCATTGGGGAAATTTCTTTCTACCTCCATATCTTATATGGAAAGGGAGTGACTGGTACTAAAGAGATTCAATTCCTGATGTCACTGAATGGTAGAGACTGATACCATTAAGTATCAGATTGAGTCATTATGCTCAACATAAGAATGGGGTAGAGAAATAAAATTATAGAATTAGTTTAAAATAATAATCTCTCAGCAACTGTAAACATTAAGCAATACAAACACATTGCAGCAGCTGCTCTGGCACCAAAAAGAGAGAGTCACTGAGGTGGGACGCTGAAGTGCCTAAATCAGACGGAGGCCCTGATGTATCCAGATCTTTTCTGAACTCCGACTAGAGAATTAGCGTCAGCTAGACTGGAACACTTACTTAATGAGCAATATTACACACTGGACAAAGTATTCTTGGGATATTGAATTATTCATGACTCAAGGAGCATAACTAGAGGAACCAGGCAAAAACTGGATTTGTTAGGGTAAGTTAAGAGTCAACATATGTATCTTTTCCTTCCACCACACACATTAGCCACTCTTTTGATCTTGGCAAGGAAGTGGGGAACCCATGAGAATTTCAAGTTTAGTTTCATCTTGCATTTGGACCTTTGTATAGTAAAGAAGTTTATCTGGGTGGTAGGGGAAGCCAGCATAAGTTTTAAATTTAGCCAGAGAGAGTGTCTATTAGTTGAAGTTTCAACTCAACATCAAGGTCCAGGAGAAACTATAATTCTAGTGGGAGGCTAAATTGATTCTTCTTGGTTTCTGGTTTATCATACTTTGTCAAGTCCCTAGAGCACGATTTATGAGGCAAGAGGTTTAAGACTTGTGTCATTCCCTGCAGCTCTCACATTGAATTAGTAGGGCTGGCTACTTTGGTTTCTATTTATACCATAAGTCTATTTTTAGCAAATCCAACTTGTGGCCGTTCGCCCATTATTGTATGTTGGTTTATTGTATATTGGTAATAGGGAATGAATGGCTTGATTTCCTGGGGATGAGTATATAAATGTCTGGGTTATCATGAAACTGGCTATGTACACATGTCGCTTGTCACCATCCCATTAAAGTCAATTTCCAAAGAGGAATTGCCAGACTTCTTGGCATGCACATCTATCATCCATATATGGGAATCATTAGACTATGTAAATGCGGCCTTTTTGTACTCCTCTGTGCTTTGTGTTCACGGGTAGAGTTACTCAGTAGTATAAATAAACCAGGAAGTCTTAGACTGAAAAGTTCCTTGGACTGGGAAATAATATAAGTTTTATTTTAAGTGTGTTTGTTGCTTCCATATGAGTTTTTGTTTATGTTTTGGATTACAGCCATTGCCACCATTGTGCGGGAGCCAGAAAGAAATTTCGCTGGGTGTTTCTTGTAGAGGCTGTGAATTACTGCATTTCTTCAGTTTTTGCTGGAGCACACTGAGTAAGTGGACTAAGAGGCTGCACACCCACACAGCACAAATCTAAAGTTTTCCCTCTTTTAATAGTTGTTTAACAGGCAGAGCATGGCCTTACCTATTTAGATTTAGATAAACCTCAGGCACAAATGGTCACACTCTTCTATGACAATGTATAACAATCCTTTTTTTATTTTTTGTTTTTCAGAAAAACACCTAGCCAATAGTTCTTCTTCAAGGAGATGACTAAAACAATTTCTTACATCTTACATATGATCCTTACATTTTCTAGCACATATCTATCTGCTGCTACACTCACTTGTTTATCTCGTAAAAGGAATTCTGAAAAACAATGACATTTTCAGATTATCAGGATAAAAGCAATTATACATGGGGATAGCCTTCAGGATATAACAGAATGAAGACATTTTCCTGTTTGCTGCCACATTTATTTATTTATAACTTGACCATTTTTTTTTTTTTTCATTTCCAATCCTTGGCTGAGGTGGTAGGAAGAGCAATGGTCCTTAGCATTGAAGACACGTTACTTTATGTAGTAAAAAAGGATTGAGATATGAACTGTAAGATGGGAATTTTTATCCTAGGTTAACTCCATGGGCATGATGTAAAAGTGGAGCAGGCTTCCTAGCTGTAGTTAGAGGAAGAGACTTCAGAAGTGAGCAAGGAATGGAGAGATGCTTCTTAACTTGCTTCATGAAAGGTCTTCATGATCTGAGTAACACAGTCAGGCTATAGAAACTGGAAAAGACAGGGAAGTAGATTATTTCTTAGAAACTCTGCATCTGTTAGCTAATGATACCTTAATTTTAGACACCGAGAAGCATTTCCAATACAGATTTACAGATCTATAAGATAATAAATTTACATTGGTTATTTGATGTATTAGCAACATAAAACTAATAATTTTCTACCCAGCCATGGTTTTTGGTTCTTTTTCAATTGGTCTTGACATTTTGGACCTTGTATGTCCTCCATTTTTACCTTGGTCATTAGTCTTATCTCTTAGATCTTAGATCTCAGATGAAGATGACTTCCATGCCTTGATATTGGATGTTAGCTAAAACATCCCTTGGTTTTAGTTTCTTTTTTTTTTTTGCCACAGTTTCTTTTACAATACCAACCCATTTTTTCCATTTGTGGTTTTCCTTTTCTATTACATATCATCAGGACTAGTCTGGATTTCAGGAATTATTAACTATCATCTGACCTTATTATTCAGTTCTCTGTGGCTAAGCATGTTCTAGTTAAAGAACAATAACCATTTTCACTTGCAACTTGCACATTAGACAACTGAGTCATTCAGGGAAGGCTGGATCATTCTGTAGAGACACAAGCAGCTCCAAAATGTTAGAAACTTATGAAATACCCTGGCCAATCAGTGGAGGACTCTGACCATAGCTCCTCACATGAGTTATGGAACCATTACCAACTTTACAGCCATTATTCACAATACACTGTAAAAGAGCCATGCACATGCAACCAACAATTATTTTGTTTAGAAGTAAACATGTTCTCTGGGTTCTCAACACATTGTCAAAACTTGTCCTAAAGTCCCATTTAAGGACTGTGCTGGTTAATGTTTTTTAAAATCAATTTGGCATAAGTTAGAGTTGTCTGCATAAAGAAAATGATAAATTAATTGACTCTATCAGATTGGTCTGTAAGAAAATCCGTGGGAGTATTTTCTTGATTAATGATCGGTGTGGGAGGGCCCAGCTCACTGTGGGCAGTGCCACCCCTGGGCAGATGTTCTGAGTTGTATAAGAAAGCAGGCTGAGCAATCAATGAGGAGCAAGCTATTAGGAAGTACTCTTTCATAGCCTTTGCTTTAGTGTCTGCATCTAAGTTTCTACCTTGAGTTTCTTCCCTGAGTTACCTTTATGATGGTCTGTAAGGTCTAAGATGAGTTAAACCTTTTCCTTCTCTGAATTGCTTTGGTCATGCTGTTTATCTCAGTAATGGAAAATCAAATTAGACTAACAGAGCTGTGTGGTATAGGTAGGTGATTATGTGCATGGAGGGTAGCCATTGTTATGTGTTCATGACTCCCTAAAACAAGCATTGGGGAACAGCTTCATATGTACTAAATATATCTAGAAGTGTACTTTCCTATAATAAGGGTTTCTTGAAACATACTTGATCATAAAATGGCAAAATGACAAACTCTAGTGTTTTCCCATTTTATTTCTCTAATGATTGATGAACATAGAAATCAGAAAAGATATTTAAAAAGTCCCCAGAATCAAGTAAAAATCAAAGTACAATTTACCAGAATCTTTGGAGAATAGCTAATTCTAAGAGGAAAGTTCACAGCTGTGAGTATTTACATTTAAACAACCCAGAGAAATGTAGAAATGTAGAATAACTCAATTATAGACCTTAAGATTGTAGAAAAACAAAATCTAGGCAAACCAAAAGCACTAGACCACACATATACACACAACACAGACAGACAGACAGACAGACAGACAGACAGACAGACACACACACACACACACACACACACACACAGAGAGAGAGAGAGAGAGAGAGAGATCAGGTCTTAGA